ATAACGTCTCGAACCTGTACTAAGGCGCTCACCTGGACTTCGCGGACAGTGCCAGCCGCAGAGCTTACCCGGTCGGTTAAGGTACTGCTGGTATTTGACAGGGGTGAATTGGAGTCTCTTATAGCTACTGACAGCAAGTGTCGGGAAAATAAAAAGTAACTTCTGGGATTCGAACTCACCGTTTAACGATCTGATAATCGCGAGCCTAACCACTCGGCCATCTCTGAGATACTGCTTTTTGCTGTTCATATCAAGGAGATAACAAAGTCATTCGACTTACTGCACAGAATGTTGCTGGGTAAATATTTACTGATTGAAACGTTATCCGCCCTGAGCCGAAGTGCACCCTCACCGGCAAAAGAAAGACAGGTGGCAATAAGTTTTCCAATCGGGTTTTTACACGCGTTCGGCGTGCACGTATAATTAAAAATCGTTGCGCGTACTCAGCGTGCTCCGCGTCAACGCGCATAAACTAAAGGACTGTCGATTTCATTTCAAAATACGCCCTCTTTTATTCATGCTCGGAGCGCATATAATGGAGATCAAGGGGTACATGCATTGATCGCCGTTTGCATGGAGCCATGGAACCCGAAGTTAACGCACACCTTCTGCGATCGTCCAATGGGAGCCTGCAAGTCGTGGCGCGTCCGCCTTTGTGACGAAGTCACTTACGAACGGGATAGGGAGCGCGTACATCCCGCTCTTTGAAAATGCTGCACGCGATATACGTGATAACAACCGCAACGGTACACCACCTCCTGAAAAAAGGAGTTACTCACATCATTTAATTTTTCATGGTTCACCGTTGCAATGTTTCATCTGAAACCCAATCAGAAAGTGAAAAGAGGTCAGACAGAATTGTGTATTCCTCATGTAACCATATAGCCCTTCAGACCGAATAAAAAACTTCATTTAAGAGAGATGTGTGCTGAAATTTTGTGGTGCACCGTTCACGATGCGCGCCAATGGCCAACTTGCCTCTTGTTGTTCATACTTGCGAGCAGCAATCCCATTCGTGCACATTGACTATGGCCCCTTCCACTGAAAATAATCCTGTACCGATGGGTGATCATAACCCATAGCTCCTGTATCACTAAATATTAAGTAACTGTATATTTCCTTTTCCTTTTTTTTGGGGGGGGGTATGTTCCTGACAGGACATATTACCGCACCTTGCCTATAATAGTCATTATTTATTCCTTTCATCACACGGCAGCGCCCGAAACAGCAACGCGGCAAACCCCAGCCCTCCCAGATCCACACTCATGACACCCACTCAGAAACTCAGACAATCCTGGACAAAATAGTTGTAACACCTTGTGGGAAGCGCGTTGCAAAGATCCCCCTCTCCCCCGTTCAATGTTGCTTTCATTTATTGGACCAAGATTCGGCCCAAGTTACCCAATGAGAAGCAACATTGACAGGGGGCGAGGGGGGAGGCATGTTCCAACGAGATTTGTCCAGGATTGTAGCTGCGTGGCTCTCTGTATTCCTAACGCTGACTACACCTGCTCCTTCGTTTGTACCTCCAGGTGTGCAAGAAGTATCCCAACATGCTGTTACAAGTTAACGCCAAGGCGACAGCGCCACCAGTCGTCCGCATCAGTGAGGCTAATTTCAACGTCTTACTCAAGGTCGACTTGGATTTCTTTGTCATCTTGCCCAGCAAATCACTCGCGTATCTTTTCACCCTGAACGCGGTAAGCGATGACAAATCGTGCACAACTCAAAACTCAGTTTCTACCCTTCTAACCTTTGGTAACACAGCTGGACTCGGCCTAAAAAATTTGATTCTAGACCATTTTGACAGGAGACTAAAATTATTTTGGAAAGTTGATAATTTTCAGATCCTTATGCGAAAATCTGAAAACGTGCACAAACAGTTCCTCCACATAAAAACAAGTCATGAAATGGACGGAGACGTTGCTTGGAGACTGGAGGGAGTAAAATAGTCATCCATATGTTGGTGCCTCCGTCACTTTGATTCAGATCTAGGTGTTTTTCCTTTAATTCCTGGGTCAGTCTTGGTGCAACACACTAACTGCTCGCAATGAATCATAACTCATCGCCAGTAGACAGCTAAGACACACGAACCGGCAACTCGGCGAAGAGTTACAGTGCATTACAAACAGCAGCGTCTTGCACCAAGGCTACGGCTGCATCCGATTCTGTTGTCTAGAGCTAGGTCTAGGTCTTTGCTCCATTGGAAATGTGTGGAGACGCGTAGAAAATAGACCTAGCCATAGCTCTGGCAGCCCGTTTCGGACACAGCTTAAGCCTGGGTGGAATCGTGACGGTTGTTATCTGCGTAGTCATCACTAAAGCCAATTACATGTCATCCTGTCTAAAGTCAAGTCACAAGCCATTCAAGTGAGCCGTGACAAAGGCATTCCTTTCAGTCTGCTGGAACTGTTCATTTGCTGGTTCACTGACAAGCCAAGTCGCAACTTTGACCATTTATTATATCCACATAATTCAGACAGTGAACGGCTCCACCCTGCTGTCGTGTAATGGGACCAACCTGTTGTGGTCGTCAAATTCGTTGGAGTAAGTCAGCCGGTTAATATCTTAAAGTCTGTATTAGTTCAGGAATGCTTATTCTGGGACTTCAAAATACCTCTCATCTCTGCTATAAAGTCACCAATTTTCTCCCGAACGATCGATAAAGTTGAGAAACAAGCTTTCTCCAAGAAACGGAGAATCCCTATAACCTCCTGCATGAGACCTTATCGCAGCACAAGTTTGGCTTGGCTTAATTGCCGTTTTGTCAACTTCGAAAAAAATTGTCCGTTATTTTTCAATAAGTACGCATAAAAAGACCGATTAAAATGCTCCCCCATGAAGTGTTGTTTAGCGGTGAACAAAATAACCCAAATAATTGATAGAGGTTTGCATTTAGATCCTTTCATTTATTAAATCAAATTACTTTCTATATGCAGTGTTGATATCAGCTTGAAGAAGTCTGCTATCGGGAAGATCGAGGTGAGAATCGAGATAAGGAAAAGTGCAGAATGGAACACTGTAATACGACGCTGTATGAACACTGGTCGACGCGGTGAATACAAAGGGTTGGATAGCTGTAAGAGGGCAAATACGTTTTGTTGACACATTCTGTCGGCGAATTAGCTGCGGTGACTATGTATGTTCTCACAATTAAATACAAAGACACTTGTACTTTCGAGAAAAAGTAAAAACGCAAAAAGCCTTTAGTTGGGGTTGAAATCATTGGATAGTGTGAAGTTGTCAAGGAACCTCTGCCTCAAATGTGGATTTCATAACAGCGAGATAAAGTTGACAATCGTGACAAGTCACTGAGGCCTGTCTTGTTCACACTCTTATCGCATGCAAGGCCAATTCATCGGCAGACTTTACCGTTGTTTGCGAACCAGCAATCAGGCAAACGCAATGGACAGCAAGTACTCAGGATTGCACTTTTCATGATAGTTATAGAGACAGGTATGCCAAAGGAGTGACCGTCCATGTATACGGCTGTTCTGTTGCAGGCTGGTCACAAATTTTACCGAGACTTCCGTACCAAATCATTTTCAAATTTTGCACGACTTCTTTTGAATGTTTTTGTGTTAATTACAGTTCCTTTGTCGTTTGCTGGTTTACAGGTAAAACCTCTCTCCGAAGCTGTTCACTTCTTAACAAACTTCTTCCTTCTTCCGTGGATCAATAGTAAGTCTGTTAAGTTTTACCCATTTTTGGACCATTCATTATTTCAATATTTTCATTTTTACTTACTTTCTGGCCAGCATGCATCGATGAAACACGGATCTTGAACAAAATGGCCCACCTTGAATTAAATCAAAGCCGAAAACCACTCTCGATTTGAGAGTTTCTGGTTTGGCGATATATCAGGGTCTTCATATTGCATTCATCAAACATTCATTACAACGGATCGATGTCAATCTGTCCTCAAAAGAACCACTGACATTGTCATTGCATTTCTTGCTGCACAACAGAGAAAGGGGAAACAGGCTTTCCCCTGCCTACCAATCCGAACATCAAGTTTCAGGCACCAGTCATCAAACAAGGAAAGGTAAGACTTCAATTTTGTCTTAAAGTAAGCGTTCCAGACCACGGGATGCGGCAGGGCAATCATGTCAAAAATCTTACGGGACGAATGGTCGTTGCCATGCTGCATGTGGGGCAAACTCTGTCAAATATCCCAATTGACAGACTTCACAAGTCTGCCATATTGAATTTAAAGCTACGTAAACTTTTGAAACTTTTTCATTTTAGGAAGTAGAACCTAATAATAAAAATGAAGTAATGAAATCAAAGTTGGTAACAAATTAATTTACTTAACGATAGTAAATAATTTAAAATTTTCGATTTGGTGTATCTAAATATTTTAGCACTTTTTTTTACTAAATGGGAGTGAGGCACGCAACCTAAAATAGTCTGGCACCTACCCATTGGACATGTTGTATTGAATCACAGAGGCTGAGGGAACGCGATCAACACGGCTTCCCTATGAATAAGATCTATTTGCACTTTGTCTAATTTTAGCACTGACTTCCCTTCCTTCAGGGTTTCATCAAACTTGGTGTCAATGTCCATTTCACCCCGTCTGTTCTGCTCATCTAAGTAGCGGAGAGTGAGGCTGACAGACAAAACACAAATTCGGTGCAAAGCACGACATGCAAGCGTGAGAATTTACACAGCTTTGGCAGCTTTAGCTTTAAGCTCCCTCAAATCACGAAGGGAGATTTGAACAGGTTCACCCTCTGCGTTAGCGCTATTTTCACCCGTATGTTGAGTGTTATTGTGTTTTTATATTATTGAAAAGAATCTAAACTAATTGATGTCGGTATTTATTATTTACGCAGATTATAGATAGTATAGTGTGTTTGCTTGTTTGTATTACGACGTTGGTTTTTGTATTTTGATAACATTTTAATGAAACAAGCAGGCTTTATACACTTCGCAGAATGCTAGAAAGAAAAGAAGAAATTGCCAGTTTATACCTGTGTTTCCCCCAACGAAGCTTGAAATTAACTTTTAATTTCACCTAAAATAACCTTTACTGTCAGACATTGTTTTGGTTTAATGGATCAATACTTAGAATGTTATCGTTTCAAACCGAATCTTAATTTAAATCCGGTGATGGATTTTGGAAATAATCTCGATTTTGTAAGACAACTGCTTTTATTTTGTCTAGTGGGATTACCACAGCAAACGAAATGTTTTTAACGTCATTTAACGTCCTTTGATATAGGAGGTCATTAAAAATGCTCATAAAATGAGGATACTGAAGGATCCTGTTGGATATTGTTAAAACCCCCTTATATTTTCCATCAACAAGCAGGATCCCGGAATTGTTAAATGTGGTCACTGCTGCAGAAGCACCAGTATTAAATAAAATCATCACCTTGTTACAAATTGACTGAGATAAACTGCACAGGTTCAACTGAGACCCCTTTCCCTGAAAAGAACTCATTAAACTCCGAAACTGCACAATTAGATAAACAACGGCTGCCTCCTGGAATACGCATCAAGTTCATCAAGTTTTCAACTTAACAGAAATTGCAAAGAAGAACCCAAACACAATTTAAGATATGAACTCAGTGATTGCATACTCTTGCAAGGTAAATACCTGTGTAGACTTTCAGTAGGCAGAGTTGAAAACGATGGTCTCTGCATAGGCTTCAAATGAAATTTTCAGGATAGGCCTAAGTGGAAAACTCTAGGAGCTTTTATTAAAAAAAAAGTCTTACAACTATTCTTGGAGAAAAAGTACTTTGGGACACCCTAAATTTCAGAGTTGTAGATCGTCAGTCCACAAGTCAACGTTAACTCACAAGTCATTTCACAAGTCAGTGCGGAACTAAAGAGACGAAGAGAGAGGAATGACTTTGTCACAGTTCATTTAAATAGCTTTCAAGTTGACTTGTGGCTGAATGGCTTATGGTGACTTGCAGTGACTTGTGACTGACTTGATTACAACTCTGCTAAGTTTATATAGGCCTATACACGTGTTGGATGAACTCTGTGGCTTAATTAAGGAAAGACTCCGTGATCTATACAGCGAACAATTGTATTTTGGGCGTAGAGTGACACGGCATATTTTTTCCATCCACAAAAGGAACTCTGTCCGTTCTTATTAAAAAATGACCACCTCAAACATCCAGTTGTTGAGCAAACTGTAACAGACAAGTTGTAAATAATTTCACCAAATAGAAGTATGATGGTTTTCATACATTGAAGAGAAAAAAGTTGCAGAAAAGTAATTGTGTCTAAAAAAGTTCACTGCGGCCACATTTTAACAAGATCTGGTATGCTTTTTGCCGAATAAATAAAGCTTGTTCCACCTCCCAAATAACGTTTTAATGACTATTCCTCACGGGTACCGAGTCTCTGTGCGTACTTAGAGTAGTGTTTCCAGTATGTGACACAGTTTTTGATCTCTTGTTCACACACCAGGCACAAAATTCTTCAGCTCTTGACAACAATTCGTGTACCGAATTTCGACGATTTGCCAGATACCTCAATTTTACACAGGGCGCGTTCGAGTAGCTTCCATCGGTACACCCTGGAGTGGTGCCGTGTTTACCGTGTCAGACGAGGAAGACTGTGCATAGCGGCGAGGCTGAACCAGAGTCATCTCAGGAAACTATTCGAACGCGACCGTTTGCTAAAAACTCTATAGCCCGTTAATTTTAATGAAAGGTTTTGCCCTTACCCGGGGTATACATTTATACGCATTGTATACTCAATGCTTGTCCGAGACTTTGCGAAAAAAATTCACAAACTTACTTGGGTGGGACTCAAACCCACGACCTCCTACAATCTAGTGCAGACGTCTTAATCACTCGACCGCAGAGCTTGCTGGTGTTGGCTGGCCGGTCCGAGTCCCACCCGAGTAAGCTTGTGAATTTGTTGGCAAGCTCTTGGACAAGCACCGAGTATTACGTTGGGTAATCTAAGGGTAAAACCTGTAATTAAAATTAACATCTCCCCCACACAAAGTACATCTATAACCTCTCTTCTGCCTCCAATTAAAAGATGTAAATAGTTGGTGGTTTAGTTTTCATATACATGTACATGTGTATCTCTCATTTTCTGTCATCAGTAATTCTTGACACTGCCAACGAAGCAGTGTTGTCGACTCTATCAAAAGCCCTTTCTTAAATCCTTTCATTAGATCGGCGGCAATAACAGTGCTAGTCACATCCACTCGAATACAATGTTGCTTGTGACTTTGCTGAAACTCTGATGAACTGGAACACTCCTCGATCGCCCGCCGGCCGGCTAGCCAAACAATGTGAAAGGTTTCAAAGACACATAATGAATGAGACATGCCAGACAAAAGAACTGAACACATTTGCAGTCTCACACATGATACACGCAGTTTGCATATTAGTCATCCAATTTGCAAGCGACAACCATCCCTGGAGTGGGCTGGTTCCTTTGGGCCCTTATTATCCATTGAAGACAGTGGTATTGATGCAAGGCGTCTCTTATGTAACTAAGCAAAAGCTTGCCCCGAACCAAAAAGTATAGACCTTTTTCCGGTGATGTCACGATCGTGCTGGAC